TTGTGCAGATATTCATAATTATTTAGGTCGTTACCAATTGTTCTTGATGCCCTTCTGATCAACTTGTTTATTTTTATGATGTGCTGCCTCCCCAAATTGCTACCATAGCAAGTGATACTAAAATTTATCAAAGTTTCTATTGTGGTGGTGTCGAATATCTGAAGGATGGAAGGATTCAAATTGAAAGACCTAAGTTTCCCCAGAAAGTACAGCCTCTGATTTACCTTTTTAACGATATTGTTTACGTGATTTTGCCAAGCAAATTTGTTGTCGATTGTAAGACCAAGATATTTGTATGAATCCGTGATTTCAAGTGTTTCTTGTTCAATTACGAGTGATGGGATTGTTGGTTTTTCTTTTCTAAAATCAATAATCATTTCCTTTGTTTTTGAGAGGTCCACTCTTAGAAAATTTGAGTTGCATCATTTAAAAAACATACATATTTCTTCGAAATGCTCTTTTTCATTAAGGTTCATTATTCCAATAGTAACGGAGCCATCTGCAAACTTAGTTAAGAGTGTTGTTTTATATTTACTTCGTTGGTATATATTGTATACAGAACTGGTGACAAAACACAGGTCTGAGGACCGCCGGTGTTACAAAGGATTGTGTCAGATTTTGTGTTGTTCAGCTTGACATATTGTGTTCTGCCTGTCAAAAATTCCAGGACCCATGCTGGGATATGATGACTAACTCTCAGACTCAGAAGTTTTTCAATGACAATATGCGGTTGAATTGAATTAAATTCTGAAGAAAAATCAATAAAAAAAGTACCCTCGTATACGTTTTAGATGTTTCAAGGTGTTTCAGTATAGCGTCACAAAAAAACAAGTACAGCGTCTTCTACGTTCTTCTCTTGTTTGTATGCAAACTGGAATGGGTCTAGATTTCCATGACCACAACCTATACTAAGAAAAGAGGTGTGGCTGAAAGACAGCAGTATGAAGGAAACGAACCAGGAATATTGATAGAAAGAGTAAGGAGTACAGGAGAAAAGAGCAGAGACTGGGACCAGGCTGGGAGGGGGGTGAAAAGGGGGGGGGGAGAAAGGCAGATGACAGAACAGGACAAGAGAACAGGAGAGGAGGACAAAGGAGAACATTTTAGAGAAAAAAGATTATCCATCGCTGGCAGGTTTCAATCCCGAGACCTTTTGTCTGAGAAGCAAACACCATACCTTTTGTCCACTAGAACCCCCTTTTGTTTTCAAAAGTTATTGCAGGGGCTCTTGTGCTCTAGGGATATTACGGTGTTCGTCTCCCGTTCAAGGGATCATGGGTACTAAACCTGTCAGGGACGCAAAATTCTTCTTCTCTAAAGGGGTAAAATGTTCTCCTTTCACCCCCTCTTCTGTTCTCTAGACATGTTCTGTCAACTGCTTTCATCTCTACTCCCCTCCCCGCCCACCCCCAGCCTCAGGGCTCGACTCTCCTTAACCCTTGACTTGTTCTACACGTAACGTACTGCTTCTCCTGGCTCCTTCTTATTGCTGTCGTTCAGCCACACCCCTGATCTTAGTGCGAGTGAGGCCGTACATATAGCCTTCTCGGATAAGGGCGAAAAATCTCGAAGGTCATGTGTGCAAGTTGCGCACGTTAAAGATCCCTTGGTGGTCTAAAATCGATAAGAGTAGACTTCGGCCCCCACGTGGGTAAAATTCAAAATTTCCTTCCAACTGAAAAAGTTTCATGTGTCCCGCGCGCTCATATGACCTTATGCAGTTGCCAGTGCCGTAAAACACTTACTAAAAAAAAAAAGTAACGCGGAAATGGTGGCCAAAGGAACTGAAAACTTTCTTAACAGTTTGTAGTTCTGGCACAGATTTCTTGAGACGCCCAAAACTTTGGTGAAAATGTTGCCAATGGTCCAAAGTATACTTTAAAAATGTAGTCCAAAATATCTTGAACCTTTTGGTCTTTCCGCGCATTTGCCATTGCGTGGAAGGCAAAATAATCTTCTTTTTCATTTGGGGAAAGAAAGCACATTCCAAAAACGACTCTATGCCACTGGCTGATTTCTCACTGGTTGTCTTCGAATGACTTTTTTTAGAACGACTTCATAAATTTTTCTTAACCAACTCTGCTTCATCCCCCAGGGCGGCGCCACTGACTGAACTGTCTTTAGGCCATTCCCAAATGGGGGACATTTCTCGATCTAATGCACAGTAGAGTTGTAAACGCGCTGACCCAACAACGTCATGCTCATAACTGTTCCTGAACTACATCAGGGAACTGCTGCTTTTTCTTTCCTAATCTTTACTATCATCATTTTCCTCTACTTCTTTTGAATGTTTGTCACACTCTTGAGACCTGCTATTTCCGGAGTGCCTTGATAAACGAAGCAGACTTCGTGCTGTTAAAGCTAGAGAGGTGAGCAGAGTAAGTCTGATTCCCTGTAAGGACTTCTCTGTTGACATCCACCCCTTGGCACTCATATGACCTAATGCAGTTGCGAGCGCCGTAAAACTCTACTCAATTTTCTTTTAAAGCTCTGCTTCATGTGCAAAACGCGCCCTTTGAGCTTTCTTGTAACCTACTTAGAAACAATTCAAAGTCTCTCTCTCTCTCTTTCTCTCTCTCTCTCTCTCTCTCTCTCTCTCTCTCTCTCTCTCTCTCTCTCTTAAGTCCATCTATTTTACGTTACAGAAAGATTTGTCAGTTTGTTAGTGTTTGAGCGCTTAATGGGAAGCTTTCACTGAATGCTTCCCGAGAAGCAAAGAAATGTTTCTGAGTGTCTCAGGGTCTTCTGGGCTAAAAGATGCACTATCATATTATAGATTGTATAGCGTAAAGAGCTTCCACTGAGCGGGGATATGAGTTACACAAAATATGTTACACTGCTTTCTGTCTCCGTTTCTTCTTGTTTCTTTTGCTTTTGCATACACATATACTCAATCACATACATGCATATATGCACACACATACCCACACACGTATACACACACATATACACGCAGACACACAAACACACACACACACATATATACACACATGTATATATATATATATATATATATATATATATATATATATATATATATATATATATGTGTGTGTGTGTGTGTTATTATCTATTTGTGGTGGCCGAATTTTGCAATTCAAAAGGCTTTTTAATGGCTGCATCGATCGACATGCGGTTTTCGCCAAAAGATTCTTTAAAATATTCTCCAGAGCATGACGCCCTTCGTTTTTTCAGTATAGAGAGAGTTTTGCCTGCAAAATGCTCAATTTCTTTTTTTCGCCGATCGCTTTTGTAGGCCGACGCTTCTGTCTCTGCAATTTTAGAAAATCCGGTGCGGAAGTGATATTTTGAGAGGCACATTTTGTTTTGAGAGTATATATCTAGATCTAGACATCTCTCAAGATTTATTGCTCCATTCCAGTAGAGTGTAAATATAGTAAGCCAATGACTTTCGGTTGATGTTAATGCACCGATCATCCCTTTCATCGAAAGGGGACCCAGCTATATATATATATATATACGGGGGCGGCTCGTGGGTCTAGAAAGTGGGCGTGCACAATTAATTAAGCTATCTTAGGCTGTAGATAGTCAAGGGCCTAGTAAATGGGGTTGTGTATAATTTTAGGATCTTTGGGTTGGTGAAGGAAGACCCTGAGCTTTTATTTTCATTCTTTTTACGTATGGCTTTGACTTCTAGAACTAAATCTGCTTGTTAGCTAAACGTCAATGTCATTCATCCTGCATTAGAACTGAACACTCAAGCAATACCTTTCACCACTCCACTACAAAACCGTTGAACTCATAGGACGGTGACTTAAGTATGTCACGTTCACCTCCCTCAGGTTCACGGTCACAGAGTCACTGAAAACAGCGGCAAGACAATGAACCAATCACAATTCATTTGAGCACTCCGCTGGATTGCTCCGGGACTCACATAATTTTGTCATAGAATAGTGCACAGTCACGGCTTACCGTGTGCATAGTCTATCGCGTTTATTTGTAGATTGCCTACTGTGGGCTATCTTTCGGCACTATTCGGCAGGAGCACATCTGAGATGTGCCGTCTTATTAATATTAATGTACCGCCAAACTCTCTACGAGTGTCGTCATCGTTTGGGTTAACCCAAAGAGCGATTTATAGGTCAGGTTTTCACTGTTGAATATCCTGTTATGTTTAGATACACCGCATGAACTTAGGCATGGCATAGTAGATGTTTTACGGCGCTACAGACATAGAAATGACAGTTACAGCGCCAGCGAGGACCTTGTTTTGATATAATATTTGGCTAGTGTTTGTTTCTGGCGTCTTTTATTTTATTATTGTGTGTGCTTTACGTAATCGTGTAGAAAATATTTTAAAATTTGAGCGGCACTGCACGACCGTGCCCTATCGACGAACCGCGCCTGATACATAGCCTACATACATACATACTCACCACAAACACATATACATATTTACATATTCATATTCATACATGAGTGCAAACATATACGGTCACACACACACACACACACACATAAACGCACACACACACACACACACACACACACACACATACACACACAAACAAACAAATACGCACACACATAAACACACGCACACATGCTCATCAACACAAACATGCACACACAACTACTGTTTTCTTTTTTATGGCCGTAACCCTATCCCTACGTCGTGTTTCACCATCGTATCCATACGACGTGGGGAACTCTGTGCCACCACTTTCAAAGAGGAAATTTTACTCGTTATTCTGATTCGTAGGCTTTGCATAGGAATAGGAGTCTGTCAAAACGATTTTTGAGAAATACTGAAAGTTTCAAAGAGATCTTCGTATTAGAAGTATTCTAAAAATGTAAAGAATACAATCACAGGGGTACAAAATGACCCCAGGGTGTACGGGTAGGGTTACATAACACTTCGGTATCGATGGAACCTGTTACAACTGTCTACTGTTTCTCCTTTTCCAATCACATATATACACACACACATACGCGCACTAACAAAGAAGCACACACACTCACACAAACACATTACTCACCAGGTAAGGTGGGGAAGAATCCGGAGAGAATTTTTCTGATGAAGCCATGGCAACGTATTTTTAAACTAGAGACGGAGACAGACGAGATGCAAAAGACGAAGACGATGACCCTCTCTCAGTCCGCCGACTCGCCGCAATGTGACCCACATCCTGTGTTTTTGTGCTCTCCCTTCGCCCACTGCTTCTCTCCCTTCGCTCACATTCTCGCCCACAAGCTCGATAGAGTCATGTCTGGAGACGCGAAGAGGGTGTTGTAGCCTGCTGTCACATTAGAGCGACGTGTGCGCGGTGCGTACGTGTGTGTGTGTGTGTGTGTGTGTGTGTGTGTGTGTGTGTGTGTGTGTGTG